AACTTCACACTCCCTCCCCAGCCCCCTTTATTTTCCTTTCCTAGTCTTCGTAATCATTTGCTGACCGCCTCCTGCATCACAGAAATACGCACAAACCCCGGGCCCTCACCAGAGCACCGCCACCGACCTGTACAGCCGGCTCCGCATCAACCTCGTCAAGACCGTGTACGAGTCCTGGGCCGAGACAGGCTTCGCGTGGGAACAGTACAACCCCGAGACGGGCAAGGGGCAGCGCACGCAGCACTTCACCGGCTGGACGAGCTTGGTGGTGAAGATTATGGGGATGCCGGATCTGAGTGGGGGGAAGTGGACGTTAGAAGAGGTGGGAGAGGGGGGAGATGAGCATGATGAGCTGTAGATTTATAGATAGATGTAGATATATGAACTATAAAAGGAGAAGCATGAGAAGAGAAGCATGAGAAGAGAAGTATGAGAAGAGAGCAATGAAGAGATGGAGAATGAAGGTGTCGAGGAAGGGGGTTTCCAATAGTTAAGTAGGTAACTTAAGTATGCGTTCTCGAAGCCAGCCCATAAGAAACTCGATCTTGACGTTTTGTTGCATATTTCCATGTCTTGGCTTTTCCAAGACGCTTGCTTTTCCAAGTAAGAATGGAATAGTAGCTAGCTACGGGATCTATAACTGGCTCCCTTTTAGCCACCATTTCCTTCCGTTTATCGCATATCGTCATATCCGATCCGAGTACCACGCTCTCAATTAGCTTTTTCAAGTAAACTTAAGTATTGATTCGCCGGTATCAAACGTCTCTTTCTCTCACGTCGTCTCTTGCAACTGCAAACGATTAGGTTTTAAATGGTATCTTGTTTCTATCTACTCTCTGGAGCTAGGTACAGGTTGCAAGTAACTCCTTCTACACTTTTAGAAGGAGTTTCTTTGAAATGCTATGTAAGAGATTGGGGCTTCTTAAGAGCTTGTCCGTCTCGCTAAGCGAGATGTATTTGTATGGAGCGAATAAGATACTTCGTAAAGGGGAAGAACTAATTATAACAGTCACACCCTGAGGGTAGATAACCAGGGGGTTTTACAGTAGAGACTCTATACCTTGGACCTTGGACCCTTCTCCAGGGTGTACTGTAGGTACAGGACTAGGTAGGTACCTGCTAAGCTAATGCATACGAAACCATAAAACCATTTGGGATTCTATAATATAGTTTCTTCTTGCGCTTCTGTGGTTGAGATTTCTGTCTGGTTTGCTGACTAGCTTTTTGGGGGATTGGGAAAAGGGGAAAGGTGAAGTTCTGATTGGCTACTGCGGAAAGGAATTCATTTTTGAGGAAGGGGAAAAGTAAAGGGATGCGGATACGCGTTTTTATCGCAGCCAGGTTTCTTCCTTTCTTTGTGTCTGTGTCGAGATCTGGGTGAAGTAGTGCCAAAACGGAGATCTGGCTTATCGCCCTTGAGGTTGTTGCAGTTGGGGAGGCGCTAAAGCTGCTGAAGGGGGTTCCGGATGGTGCCGTTGAGGCAGGCGTATGGAGGACGAGGTAGTAGAACCGTACGGGTGCTGACAGGAAGTTGAAATGAGAGACTTATTTATTCGAGAAATAGGAGAAGCCGAGCGAGGATTCCGGGCCTCTAAGAACCGAGTTGAATCAGTTGATATCGAAGCACCTTATGCCGTGACAAGGGTTTGTGTATGCGGTTCAAAAAGGGTAACTAATTTGAAGAGTCGAGAAAACGAAGCTTCCATACTGAAATTGGGTAGCCTTATCATCCACCCAACGACCCCTGTCCTTTCAAAGAACTTACTCTAATGGTGTTGATGTACTATCCCTTGAGCTTCTAAAGGTAATGTATCCCAAGATTCCCAAAGCCCTACGAGTACAGCGTGTAATCTTCCGAATTTCCAACACCATTGGTTTATCCGGAGCTTACAAGCGACTGCCAACGTGGCGTAGGGAATCTAGCCTAGCCGCTCTACTAGCACTCTGAATGATATAAAAGTAAAGCCAGTGCCGAAACTTCGAATTTCGACCGGGATGATACAAAGTTCTTCGTCCGCGCGCAATCTGCCAGTTTCTGATTAAGCCTATCGCTGAGCTGGATAAGAGACGGCTCGACTTCCTCGAGAATTAAGCCCGAGCAGGAATCTTGCGGAAGAGGCGTCCAAAGACTATATAGAAATTGGCCATCCGAGGACGCCCAGTCTGGGAAGTACTTTGAATTTAGAAGACGTTCTCAATCTTCTGGAATACGTAATTCGTGAGCCTGGCGGTTGGCGTGTTGTAATGTTACCAGCACAAACTAGCCACCCACCATCATGACACTGTCCTAATGTATCCCAGTATCCTGATCGAATCTCTGTGCGAGACGTCTGATCTTAGAAGCTATTAATATGTTTTTTGAGTAATCTAACTTGATTTTCTGAAAAGCATAAAATGGACACGATATAGAAAGAGAGAAGAATGCTGAAGTTAATCTCTTACGTGTGGCTACCCTGCAGTACAATGATTACAACATCACTGGTTATAAAAGGAGCTCGCTCCGCTGCCCTGGTCATACTAATCCTGGAGTTTTGGGAAAAAAGGTCGCTGATTTCTATGCCGCTGATATACTAATACACATCGGTTAATAAGAAAAGCATTATTCTAATACCGGCTCGATAAAAGACTGACCTAAAGTGCAGAAACTGGAGCAAGAGTGTTAATTCTGAATGGCTACAAGCGAAATAACCAATTATAGACCGTACTCACATCTATGGATTCAATAGGCAAGAGATGAAAAAAATATAACAGCTCGGAGTTCTAGGTGGTAGCGAATACATATATCGAAACTCTTTTGTAAATAGTATAGGTCGGGATTGATTGAATGCCTTGAAGATGAAGGCCACTCGAGTCGTACGTACTACGTAAGAGGACTCTCGATGAGGAGACTGGTATCCACTAAGTCACGTCACATTTGTATACATTCTACACCCTGTTATTGAATAGCTTGATTCGTCGGTGCTGGAGAAGTCAAAAAGTTTCAGGGCGAGAGGGAAGGGGGGGGGAAAAGGCCAAGTTTTTCTTTTGTTGGTGACTTTCTAAATGCCGCATTCGTGGTTCAGGGAAATACGAAGCCGGAATCCTAGAATATCGAGAATAGCAAGACCAAAGTATCAGAGGCGAGACAGCACACTTTCACGTTCGTAGGGACTGAGATGGATGTATGATGCAAGAGCAATGATTGATTGATTAATTGATCCTTTCTTCAAGGAGCAGAGGACTTCCTAGGTATCGCAAGAACAGCAAGGACGCGAATTGACCGTAACTATACACAGCGGAGATATGAAACCATCTTAGTGTCCATTCGCACACTCCCCCGTGGCCCACTTGGTATTGAACTTCGTCTCCAGCATATCCTCGAAGTCACCGCGACCTCTCCGAACATGAGCCTCGTAAGCCTGATCAAGGAAGTCTCCGTCGTTGAGTCCAGAGATGCCATCTTGCCTAAAGTCGTTGGCTGCTAGCTTCAGTTCCTCCGATGCGAGACTGTACAGAACATCACCCAAAGTACCCTCATCAGTGGGGACATTAGCGAGAACCGGCTTGGCATGGTCGTGATCAAGAATAGCCTGCCTCGAGGTTAGTAATGGAAAGTACCTGGAAAATATAGTGACCCTTACCAGAACATCCTCATCGTAAAGAGGTGAGTTGCCTTGTCCAACCGCCGTTTCTGGATCACTTAGCAGCCTATCCTTCGCAGACCTTGATCTAGACTTGATTGTAAACTTGATCTTTTTCTTAGGGCCGCCTCCAAATTCACGTGCGCCTAATCGAGTAGTAGATCTTGGACTGCGAGTTGTTGGAGTAACTGGCGAGTTGTAAGGGGTAGGCGCGTAGACATTGTCAGTGCAGGAAGATGGAATAAGACCGTTGCCGAACGCTGGCGCGAGCCTATGCTCACCCAGGTGCTCTCGGTGGGGGTTCTTCAGCGGGATTAGAATGTGCACGATAGCAGTCGGTAGTAGTAGAGCATTCGGGGGTATTGGAACTTACTAGATAGACACCAGGAGGCGCATTGCTAACTGGTCCATCGGTGACTCCATTCGGATTGCCATTGACTCTTGGGGACTCAGCAAAGAAGGGTGCCTGTGAAGTCGTGACAGCAGCGGGGAGGGGCACTTCGCTGCGGGAAGGGGCCTCAGCGATGTCACGGAGGGGGACTATTGGGGCCAGAGGACTGCTTGGGCGAGTAGGAGGGACTTGATGGAGGGAGTGATCGTTGTTTGCGAAACTGTTCTCGGCGATACTGCTCCTAACGATGCCATTCGCGACAACGCCGTTGACAACGCTGTTTCTGATGACGCCGTTTGGGACGATACCATTCTCGTTGGTTGCATGAGGCATAATTTTATTATGGCGCTTTCGCGACTTTGCTTTGCCGGAAGAGGGTTACACGAAAATATAAAGCGTAAAAGAGTCTCGATGGACTCGCTTCAGTTCCGCTTGGCCGTTGATTCGCGGAGCAGTGATGTACAAGATCGTGTGGGGATGTGGGATGTGGGATGTGGGAGAAAAAAGAAGTTGAGGTCGAGGTTATGAAATTTAAACAAAGTAGACCGTGTTGTCGTCGCGCCTCTGCTAGCTCAGGTCACGCCTCGAACTAGTGTCGCGCTTCAGGAAGGAGCCCGAATTCCGAGGCAGCAAGTCCAGCCTCCTCGGTCCGACCTTAATTCCGTGACGAGGCTGATTTATTGAGATCTGGTCTAGACGATAACGATACAAACACCACGCTCCTTGAAACCCACGAACCACCTCTGTATTGTCGCCCAACGGTTTTGAAATAAACAAAGATCTGTTACCTAGATCTCTCCCTGTCCCGCGAAGACATACCGAGACCAGTCCAAGCGAGTCCGCGAAAAGCAACCAACGACACTCGCCGCCGCAGCGCAGCCTCGACGATCTCAAGGATTCTGGCTTTCTAAGACAGATCACGAGCACGAGTTCAAGATGATATACGCCACGCAAATCGCTCGGCTGGATGGTATGCTTACGAGAAATGAGTAGGAATTGCAGCGACTGACTGAAGCCCACAGGCCTCATGCTCTGTGCCGACGAGGGAGTGCGCAAACCCCACCCATTTATTGAGTAATATACTGACAGAATTTGTAGAACGATTCATCTCTCGATGAGGTCAAGAGCCAAGTCAAGCAGGTTCTCCGGAGACTGAATCGGACCTCCGAGTCGCAGGCCACCGTCGAGAGCAGCCAATACACATTTCAGTATGTACCACAACCTCATACGTTTGACGTTGGAGGCAATGGAGGAGGATAGACTGCAATACCTAGAGCAGAGGTTTATCTGTGAAGAAATCCCTTGCCTTGCGAGGTTTCATGCTCAGCAGTGAGCTTGGATGCTCCTGCCTGGAGAAGTTTCTGCCATCTTGCAACAGCGATCCCTTCTTATTGCTTCATATGCTCAAAGCAAACCGCTCTTGCCTTGATGAACAAGGACTTAAACACCTAGGGAATTTTGGCGTGTTTCTTTTTGGCAACCAGCGAGAGTTGGGCAAGCAGCAGTCTCGGGGATGACATTTCGAGGAAACTTCCCACTTCCCACTCCATGTGCCAATGACTTTGTCATACAATAGCCATGCAGCAGTCTCCTCCCTCCAAATAGCACAGAATGGCTACTGGGCCATGTCCACAACTGGGATTGCAGTTTGCAATATCCTCAAGTGCACAAAGCAAATGGCTCTCGATCAAGCTTAGAACTCCCACACCATCACAGCTTCCCTACTCTCTCTCATTGTTTCTTGAGACCCGAACTTCAAGCAAAACAAGCAAAAGCAAAAGCAAAAAATCTGACAGATCACCAGCTACCTCATCTTCCAAGACATCATCTACCTCTGCATCACTGCGCACTCATACCCCCGCAAGCTTGCCTTCACTTACCTTTCGGACCTCTCCAACGAGTTCAGCACTACCTACCCCTCGCAGCAGCTCCTCTCGCCCACCATGCGCCCCTACGCCTTCATGGAGTTCGACACGTTCATCAACCGCACCAAGGGCACCTACTCGGACACGCGCGCCACGCAGAACCTGGACAAGCTGAACGACGAGCTCAGCGATGTCACCAAGGTTATGAAGAAGAACATTGAGGACCTGCTGTACCGCGGAGACAGCCTGGAGCGCATGGGCGAGGTCAGCTCCCGCCTGCGAGAAGACGCAAGCAAGTACCGCAAGGCCGCCGTGAGGATCAACTGGGAGCTGCTTCTGAAGCAGTACGGACCGCTTGGTGGATTGGGCTTATTCATCGTGCTGTTCATGTACTGGAGATTCTTCTGGTGAAGGGTGATAGCTTCATGTCTACTAAGACACCTCGCTCCGTATACAAACAACACTCCATCGACTCCCGAAATTGAACCGATACCGAGACTGGCTGGCTGTATAAGATACTTATGCATGGATGAAGGATGGACGGAATTGCAGCCTTGGCCCAGGCTTGTCAATTCCAAGGCGTTGGGCTTGCTTGCAGGACACATGATATATGCTGATTGGTTTGCAAAAGATTGCCGCTGTACAAACGAGGGGAAAATACGCCATTTTATAAAAATGCACGGTTCTCTAAACCCCCCCTTCCTTTCTGTTGGACCGCTGATACTCACAGTATTTTTTTTTTTCGCTATGCGCGCGCATGAAGCCGACTTGGCTGTTCTCTTTCTTTTCTTCGTCTTTCTTCCCCTCTGCTTATCAAAAAATTCAGCCCGCTCGATTTCATGGCCACTGTGCCTCGCCCCGATAGGGCTTTTCTTTTCATCTTCCTGGTCATCGGCACCAATTCAATTTGGTTTTGACTAGGAAGGGTCAAGATTGTTTATATATTAGTCTATGAGATTTGTCCTGGATCTCCTACTCGGGATCCGGTATTTGTTTCTGGCTTGAAAGTTTGGAACGATATTGTTGTTACTGACGTTGTGTAGCACTCGCCCATCGTGGGCTGAATTTTGGCTGTTTGAAGGAGGAAGAGAAGGCATAACAAAGGCAGAACTGAACGCAGCATGAAAGGCAGGACGGACTGCATAGAAAGACGCCTTATAACGCTGACCCGAAAGGGGAAACACAATGCACTCGGAGACTTTGAATATCAACTACACCAACAAACGCAGCACAGTACAAGACAATCCCTACAACTTCATGCGCACAAGGACATCCACACAACGTTTAAAACATACAAAGGGACGCCTCTTGTCTATCGTATCTAGCAAGCGGCATTTAGCTGTTTAAGCATCAGTGAGCCAGCACTCGCTCGGGCGGCCCCTAAAACTGCAGGCGCTCGTGGAGAACCGGTGCATGCAGTGTTATTGTTGTTCTGTGGCTACCCGAAGCTGATTTTTGGATTGTGGAGGAAACTTTGAATCGTCGTATGGATCTCGGCAAACCGATTATCGAATGACCGATATTGAGATATTCTTTCGGAGACTAGACGGCAATTGAGATATTTTCCCATGTCTTGTCGTTCAACTGTTTCTTCTCTGATCGGGGTACTGCTAGTAATCTGCTGGAATCGAGACGCAAGCCGAAGTATCAGATCGCCATGTTCGGGAGCACAACTATCTTGTCAGTGAACGCTTTGGTGGTAGACTTGGATGGCGACATTGCCTTCACTTTGTCACATGGAACGCCTGCCCGAAGGCGGCTAAAAATCAAAGCTTTTGCATTTGTTATCTACCTACAGTACTTCAACGCTGCCCCTCATTGCAGCCTGCTTCTTATCTCCCTCGCTACTCACGGTCAACCGCCAGCTGGTGTCAGTCAGAGTCAGTGGCTCTATCACCTCTATTCAGGCTCAGAAAATAACCATCCCTTGGTTTCAAGGTTTGTTACTCAGAATTGGTTGAAACTGCTAGAGAAAGTGTCACCAACCTTCCCTGGAGTCCTGGGCCGTCAGTAAAATTCTGCAACGGGGATCTATAGGCACTCACTACCTTCAAGAGCTGCTTGGTCGATTTCGTCCTCCTTAGGTTATCGACCAACGTGTATAGGTCCGGAATTCTGACCTCGGCGAAGCTGCCATCGTCAGTCGTGGCAGATCAGAGAGGTTTGCGGCTCCCGTCGAGGGTTGATGGGGCTAATGCTCACGTATCAATGTGCCGAGGGTGGAACTGTATGTTCCACGGGAAAGAACTGGAAGATTTCAGTATAAATCACACGATCTTGCTGGACTTTAATCTGGTACTTACCAGTCCATGCACGATGGCTCCTTCATGCCAGCGCCGGGAACATGACAGCCGACCTCGGCTTTCATTTAAGTCGGAGCGAATGCCAGCTAAACCAATTTCAATGTCACATTATCGTCGAAGCAATTCATCGTCGCTGGAGAAGATCTCATCATCTGCAGTCGGCTGGTTGGAAAGTGAGATTCCTCCTCTTCTCATCAAGAAAATTTACGACCTGAATCATGGCCGACCAAATTCTCGCTGCTTCTAGCAAGCACAACAAGCCCGCAGACCTCGTCTTCTAGTATGGCACTGCGGGGTTCCGAATCGAAACTACTTCCCACGAGCTCAAAAGCACTTCTCCTACTGGATCCACGAGCTTGACGCCGCTGTCCTCGTTATCCTTGAAGGGGTTTTGGAAGCTGTGATCATGACTCCGGTTGCCTAGCCGCCGAGTTTGCGAGGCCGGCGGCGACGAAGCGAGCGCGGAAGATGGCGCTGTCGAGGATGGCATATTCGACGGACTCGGCCAATGCGAAGATCGATGGCAAGTATCAGTCTTGGATATCTGATTTTGTGCAGCTGGAGTCGATGGCAAGCGAAGACGTTTGAGTCCTAGTCAAGTGGATATCGGAAAGCAACCATGCGCGAGCAAAAGGAGAACCTCTTTGATACGAAGGGCCTCTTTCTGCAAGGACGTGGCCAAGGTATACAAGAGCTTGGAAGAGAAGTTGAAGATCAACTTGCTGTGCAGCTGAAATTCTGTTACTCGAGCAGACCATCCGTTGGTCCAAAAATTGGCGGTTCAGCAGAGTAAAGACGACTTGTACTTGCCTCACTTCTTGACAATGACATAGCCTGAAGCAGTCTCGAGTTTCTTGATGAGGCGAATTTAGAGGAATGACTAGTCCCAACTCGTTCTGGAGCATGTCTTGGTTGAGTTCGAGGTCTACCGGGCATGCCGTTGTTGACGGCCGACAGACCTTGGAACAAAGCGTCACTCGATAACGCCCTGTGAGCGCGCTCGGGCAATGACAACATCGAGTAGCGCTTCATTGCCAAGGTCTGTAAATTGATCGCTCGAGCAGCTGTCACAAGCTATCAAGGCGGGAGATCAAATCCTTTGGCAGGTCGCCAGGCAGGCATTCTTGACTGTAATCGATCTGCCCATCGTCCAGCTGCCTAAAATCATTTCTATGGGCTTATCTTGGGTTTTTTGTCTTGGATGACGACCTGCAGCTTCCATTTGGCCTCCAGGGCTTCGAGTTCCGGAATTGTTTGGTCCACATTGCATTGAGGATAAGAACGGTTCCGTTAACATGGACTATCGTACTGGTAGGAGCTATTGTTTGGCGAGGGGGAATATAGACGACGCGCGATCCTTGCCTACACATCGTCAGCCAATCACTTCAACTTGAGAGGCGAGGAGTTGTTACGTACTCGATGGTAGTCCTTTCGAGCATGCAAGACGGTGATATGGGATCGGCGCTCTCTTGATAGGATTGATTCCAAGGTTGGCTTGATCAATCTGATGTCACCACTACTATATACTGTCAGTGCTTGACTCAAAGTCTTTCTGGGGCATGGTTGAGAATCATTGAAGGGATAGCTTGATTGCTCATGGCACTCTGCCCCTTTCTGGGAACTGGAGAAACCAACCTCGTGCCAATCTCCGCCATGGCATCGCTCTGACGGGTGGGGAAGGACCGGGCCGTGAGATAAAAATAGGTAAGTAAGTAAGAAGAAGATGCAAACAGCAAGAAGTCTTGTGTACCAAAGCCTTGGTATAGGTATAGAGTAGCGATTCCACCGCTCTAACTCTGCTCGAGTCGTAGACTGCAACTCGCTGCAGTCAGTTGGAGTAAAAGGGTTACGGGTATGGTCTCTCTTGACGAGGGGATAGCTACCTTTCTCTTATTGTGGCCTCGATCTTCTCTGTCAAACTATATTTGTGATTTCGCCTTTCGCTGCTTCTTTTTTGCTCCTGCTAGATCGTCGTAAATTGCTTAGGCGGCGAGAGTGCGAGGGGGATAGTTCATCAGAGGAGCCATCAAAGGAATTACCCTCTCCGCTTCGTCGCTTCTGTCGAACCTAGCTGTATCCCACGGCGAGATGTTAGATATGTGCGCTGCCAAGCGGCAGAAGCCAGAGGGAGGGAAGCGCCAGAGCAGCGTGGGGGGTAGCAGGCTTGCAACTCACTTACCAGAACGTCTTCTCACGCTTTCTCAAGGCCAGCCAAGTGCTCCGAGAGATAGACCCACTCTCTGCTTCTGCTGTCAGTGGCTTCTATCTTCGTTCTTTCTTCTGGCCCCTCGCCCCAGTGTTCACTGAGTGGAGGGGGGTCTGTTGAGCTACCTCACGACGAAGTGGTCTAGGGGACTGACAAAGAGGCCGCAGATGAAGAGCAGGAGAAGCTCAAGAGTATGACCATGAACCTAAAAAGTTGTATTGAGAGTTGTATGTGCGAAGCAATTGAGGTGTTGCAGTGGGAGAGGCCGTGGCGAAAGGACAGCGAGCAGGCAGTAAGAACATCCAATTGGAGTCACCGCCTGCACTATTCTGACAGCTTGTGCGGAAGCTCACTCTATTTTCCTGAGGAGACTGATGGCTTGGATTGGCTGAATCCGGAAGGCTCTGAATCAAAGCTTCGAGTAAGTCTATCTACTCAGCCACTGAGGTCGTTAGCATCCCGTCATTCTGCATATCAGAATACTGCAAGAGATAGGCAGCGGCTTTCCTTTGTACTGGGCCGAACGACGGTTTTCAAATATTCTTTATATGCGTTTTGCTTTGTGTTGACTGATGAATCTTCTTAATTACATATTTCTATAACGACAAAAGGGTATAAGCTACAAGCTACTACTACATCTACAAATGGTACCAGATAGTCCTACAGCGCTAGCTCCCAGAACTCCTCCCTATAACCCATGCAATTGTGCACTCATAGCCGCTCTCAGCCGTTCGACTTCCTCTGGGGTTGGGGCCACTCTCAAGCAATCCGATTGTGGCCGGAATTGCGTACTTGGTCATCGGGATGGAAAGCAATGAGCGGCAAAGCTGTATTTGCGATGCGTACAATTTCCACACTCTGGGTTGATACGTTCCCGCTCTTCCCCCCCCCCCCCCCCTTCCCCTAATCCCCCATACTGCATGTTCCTATCCTCCTCGACTCCATTGTACGCATTTGCGTACCATCGGA